AGCTCTTCAGCTCAAGGCGAGCGCTCTACCACTTGAGCTACAGCGCCACTTCCGGTTTTCTGGTGGTTTATTGGAGATAGGAGTCTCACAGTCTTTCCTGACCGGGCTGGCTTTGAACCGCGATCCTCAGATCTCAGCCTCCTGAGTAGCTAGGATTACAGGCGTGAGCCACCAGCGCCCGGCGAGTTACAGATTTTCAGGAGCACATTTCTGCTACCTTCATTTCCTCCCACTACCTCATAGCTTTTTTCCTTAACAGGTAGTTACTGCTCACAAATGACCTAGCTCTGCTCATGTAAAACAGAAATACAAATGGAACATCTCTAAATCTGAATATCCAAAATGTTTCAAATTCTGAAACTTTTGACCATAAGATTGCAGAGCATTTTAGATTTCACATTTTCAATTTAAGGATGTTCTACCAATGAATTCTGGTCCCAAAAATTTGGAATAGGGGATCCTCAACCTGTAATTCATTTTCCAACCAAACTACCTAGCAATCCTCTGTCCAGAAAGGCAAAATTAACCAGAAATTCCATGAGACAAAGAAAAGTCTAATTATCAACTTGCCCACAATTCTAGCACCCTCCAACATTTGTAAAATGTTGTTGTAAAATTTGTAAAATATGGCTTCCCTGGTTCCATCCTAAGGCTAAAGGAAGCCACAATGGAATTCTAGAAAAAGCTCTGAATTCAAGACCTTTTGGACTATAATCTGGATCCCAGTTTTGATAGAACTTCCTTGTATACAAAATCTAAGAAACTCCTAGAGGCATGGCTCAAATGGCATTGTCCATCTAGCAACACCAAGGCCATGAGTTCAACCCCAGTGCCAGAAAAAAAGAAAAGAAAACCTTGGGTGCCAGAGGTATTCAGAAGGCTAAAATCTAAGAACCAAAGTTTGGGGGGGTTTTTTGTTTTGTTTTTCTTCAGTTGTGGGGCCCGAAGTCTGAGCCTGGATACTGTCCCTCGACTCTTCAGCTCAAGGCTAATACTCTAGCACTTGAGCCACAGTACCACTTTCGATTTTTTATTTATGTGGTGCTGAGGAATCGAACCCAGGGCCTCATGCAT